TTGCTAAAATAACTACATATGTAAACAAACTTCAATTCCTTCTCTTTTTTATGAGTTTTTCTACTTTCTTCATATATTTTTCTTATTAATTATGTTAGAATTATGCTAAAATATCAGTAAAAATATGGATTCATCAAATAGTGAACTACTACATCACGGAATCTTCAAGAATTTCAATTCCTAATTTGTTAAATGTCAAAATGGTAGATGAGAGAATATCAACTCAACATTTATTAACTAGCACATAAATTAAAAAATGTTCTAATTTGATTGATAATAATTTTAAAATTAAGTATAAAAATGTATTTGCAATAATTTAATTAAAAATATTATTTTTAATGATTTTGTCTTACTAAAATTTTAATAAAATAGATATAAAATTTTAAGATTTTGTTTATCTAAGAGAAAAGAAAACTTATGTGATGTTTATCTAAGAGAGTTTTTAGATGAAGAAGGGAAGGTCATAAACCTTCCAAAATGTTCCTAATTTCATATTTTTTTTAGTTTTTTTAAATTCAAAAATTTTGTAATAAACCTTGTTTCTTCTCTCTTCTTTTTTCCCTAAACCTTCCAAAATGTTCCTAATCTCATATTTTTTAGTTTTTCTAAATTCAAAATTTTTGTATTAAACCTTGTTTCTCTTCCTTTCTTTTTTCTCCTTTACCTTTCAAACTATTTCATTCTTTCTCCCTCCAAACTCCCAAACAAAATTTAAAATAAAAAAGTCAACATTTATTGAAACTCCTTTTATCCAACCTGATGATCCTAAACCTTCCAAAATGTTCCTAGTCTCACATTTTCTTTTAGTTTTTCTAAATTTAAAAATTGTGTATTAAACCTTGTTTTTCCCCCCTTCTTTTTTTCCCTTTACCTTTCAAACCATTTCATTCTTTCTCCTCCAAACTCCTAAACAAAACTTAAAATAAAAAGTCAACATTTATTGAAACTCTTTTTATCCAACTGATGACTTTTCGATAAGGAACATTTTTAACAAAATGAATATGAAAGACATATAAAATCATAGATTAATTATCTTCTGTGTTGAAGGATTGTTTTTGTCAAATCAAGCAAACTAGAGATAGAAAACAACTTGCCTCCAAACAATCCATGGAAATTAGTCAATCCTTGCATATAACTAAAACTCTTTTACGAAAGTTTATATTATAAATTTATTTATAAGTTTTATCAAAATAAATGTTGCAAATCATTCTTAAAAGTATTGTGATTCATTGATCCTTGAATTAGATAATGAAACTACTTTTCCATAATTAGAAGAACACAAAAATCTAGAGTTAAGGGAATAGGGGAAGAAGCAAAAAGGAAAATTAAAATTGAATCTAAATCTATCAATATGTCTCTATCTATATTTTCCCTCTCTCCTTTTAACAGGTTCAAAATTTAAAATAGAAGATAATCAAAATTGTAATCCTAATAATAAGTTATTTTATAAAAATAAATTCCAAAACAAGATTGCGCCAAATTTGTAAGATATCTTAATCTAAGGAAAGATATATCATAAATGGTAACCACCTAATCTCATAGAATTAAATTGTAACTTGCTCCTTTATTTTGGCCCAGAATCTGCATTAAGTTGGCTTCATGGTCTGAAAATAAACTAGATTCCTAGATGTTAGCTTTCAAATGTCACTAGAATAATTTCAATTGGATATTTGTGAAATGAGATATGACTCAAACAATGTACACTAGTTAGAATCTACGCTTTCCTCCTTTTCTTTTGGTTTAGGCCTAGTTTTGGCTTTAGAAGTTGGGAATCAACCTCTTAATTCTCCATGAGAATTGTAGGCTCATCTCTTAACTTTCCTACAAAACAAGAATTACATTAAAATAAGGTCTAGAGTTCAAGTTATAACCCAAATAATAAATAGTGTCAGAATATGCGTTATGATGAAATAAATGAATTAAGACTTAACTAAGACTCAAAAGCAAAAGTAATCTAAATCAATTCAATTAAGCACAAAAAAAAAGGTTAATGTACCAAATATGAAGGGAAATATAATATTATTTTAATGTTTACCACTATCAATAATTTCAATATGTCTCCTATAGTCATGGTAGATGTAGTTAGGGCTGAAGTCTCTTTTTTCTTATATTGTGCAATGACATATATGGGTTTATATTACCATCCTCCTCGTGGTAAGTTTAAGGAGTAGAGAGGGACGAGTTGTTTAGGAAAATACTATGTACATTATGTATGCTATAAGATATTTTGTAGACGTTTATTTTCTCTTATTCTATATTATATTTATATAATTAAGAGAATTAGAAGGTCTATAAAATATTGTGCACTCTAAAAACATGTTAATATATAATATTAGCGTGTTTGCATGTAGAAAGAAAGTAATTATTAGTCTGTGAATTTTAGATATACAACATATGATTTATATCAAGGTAATTAACATGGAATAATTAGTGATAAAGAGATAGAATTATTAAATTAAGTAACAGAGGTGTCTCAATTAAGTGATATCAAAGCGGTTTGGTTTAATTAGACTTTTGGGTTAGGACTTTATGTAAATCTAGTGAAAGAAGTAACATTCATCCAAAGAACTAATGTGGTATGGGATACATTAGATCTTAGTTGGCAAAAGGTAAAGTAGTATAGGATACTTTATATCTTATCAAGAATTATAAGTCGTTCTTAGAATATGCCAAGGTACACCTTAAGAGAACAATTGGATCTAGCAAGACTAAAAAGTTATTAGGAATTGTGAATTGGTAAACTTATTATAATTTTCTGCTAATCTATTTTTTTAAAGTTGAATGTTAGGAATGAGGCAAACATTTTAAAATTCTTACAAGTAAAAATTTCTAACTTTTGAATTTTTACTCTAATTAATAGTTAAAAATTCTCTAGAGCTTATTAAAACCAAACTCCTCATTTGTGCTTCTTTGTCCTCGTGAGCAAGTAGTTCATCAAAGAATCATCATTGTTTTCATCAAGAACAATTAAGAATCGTACATTTCAGCAATATAAAAGTATTTCACACACTTTAATTTCTTGATCGAAGTTATATATTGATGAATATGATTGTAAACTACTTTGCATAAAACAAATAGTATTTTGTAATGATTAAGGAAATTTTTTAAATACATTTTATTCATTTTGATACATAACTGAGAGAATCTCAATCCACATTATGAACAATGAAATGTTAGAGTAAGAATTTCTTGCTAATGTTTCTCTATTCTTGATGCGAAGAATCTTTATATCATGTGTTCTATTGATTGATAATTGATTTGAGAATGATATTTTTGATAAAATTAGTACTTTGGATAGACCGCGCGTGTTGATAAAAAAATATGTATCAGTGATGTTGTTTGATGAAACTGATTTGGAGATAAATAAAATATTCAAATAAAAAAAAGCTGAAAAATATATTTGTTTATTTTTGTTTTAGGATTTATCCGGTGTTTTGAATGTTGCTGTTATGTTAAGCAATTTTAAAATCTGAAATAACAGAAATGTCCATTCATTTAAAAATCTTGATTGATTTAGCATGCATTCATTACATTTTATTCAATATTCTCTTACAATTAAATAGATATTTTTCAATCTGACTATATATATATACACAAATGTTAGGACATTGAATAATATTTTTGCATTTGAAATATATGAGAAAGTATGAACATTTTAAAACTGATTTTGATGTCGATAAAACTTATGTGAGAAATATAAATAATAAAATATTCTCTGAGCTCGTCAATTTTACAATCTTATTATTTTTACAATATGATTCTAAGTTTTCTTATTAGTCATTTTTAATATATAACATACTTTTACAAATACTTATCCATTATTTAATAAATTATATATTATAGTAAAATATTAATATCAAATTTTAAAGTTAAATTTAGACAACTATTAATAAAAAAAAATTTTAAAAAATGTTTATTTTATTTTAATTACTTTAATATTCTAATATGTTCTTTCTTAGTATTTTTTATTTTTAAATATTTAAACTCAATCTCAAATGTTAAAATTAAAATGACGTTACATTTAATTTAATACATTATTAGTTAGCAAAATACTTATAATAAAATTAATTTTAAATTAGAAAATGCTATAAATAATTTTTTAAAAAAAAATATCAGATAATGATAATCAACAATATCAAAATTCACAATAATATGTGAAAGGATATATAATAAAAAATAGTCGATAAAAATATTAAAATTATAATATTTAATATTATTAATACACTTAATCTTCTAATTTTATGATTTTAAACAATATATATATATATAATAAATTTTTTACGACATCAAACTTAATTTGATTTAATATTATCTTGATAATGATATATCTCAAATTTTAATTAAACTAATAATTATTTATAAATATATAATTTTATAGTTAACGTGTATTCATATTTTTAAAAAATTTATAATATATTAAATAAACTCGTTTAATAAAATATCAAATTATTTTTAAAATTATAAAATTTATAAACTCAAACTATTTATTCAAAGATTTTAAATAAATAATTAAATTAATAAAATTTAATATTTATAAAAAATTATTGAGCACATTCATTGGAACTTTAGATCTCTGCAGTTAATTTTTTCTGCAAACACTAATCTCAGTCATTGATATATATATATATATATATATATATATATATATATATATATATATATATATATTTATTTATTTATTTATTTATTTATTTATTTATTTATTTATTTATTATTATTATTTTTTATTTATTTATTTTTGAAAATAATGAATGATAAAAGATGAACCTTCACATCGTGTGGCATTTTTTCGATTGCAGACTGTAGTAACGAAAACTTGCTATTGAAGCAGATAGATCGGTGGACACGTGCACACGATAACTTATTTCCATAATAAAATTAAAATCTTACTGATATATTAATAAAAATAATAGATATAAAAAAAGTATAAAAGTTATATAAAATAATTCACCTTGAAAAAGGTATAAAAGTTGGATATGCTCACGGACGGAGATAATGAAAGAACTTGCAGCATGGCTCGAAGCGGCTGCGAGAAAGCGGGCTCACACGTGCTTGTGATTCCATTCCCGGCACAGGGGCACATGATACCCCTCCTCGACCTAACCCACAAGCTCGCCTCCAACAACAGCAACCTCACCATAACGATCCTAACAACCCCAAACAACCAAACCCTCTTAACCCCTATCCTTTCCTCCCACCCTTCCGTCCACCCCTTACTCCTTCCATTCCCATCTCACCCTTCCCTTCCCGGAGGCGTCGAAAACGCCAAAGACATGCCCCACTCTATGCAGCCCATCATTCTCTCCCTCTCCAGCCTCCACCGCCCCCTCCTCCACTGGTTCCACTCCCACCCTTCCCCTCCTCACTTCATAATTTCTGACATGTTCTGCGGTTGGAGCCAACAACTCGCCTCCCAAGTTGGCATTAAAAGGCTTGTCTTCTCCCCTTCTGCTGCTTTCGCCTTCTCCATCATGTGCGTCCTCTGGAAGGAACTCCCCAAATGCACCCACCAAAACGAGGTCGTTTCGTTTCACCGCCTTCCCAACTCCCCAAAATACCCCTGGTGGCAGGTCTCTCCTCTGTACCGTAGCTACGCTTCCGGAGAGGCAGAGATGGAGCGGTTCAAGGATTGGTATCTCGGGAACATAGCCAGCTGGGGACTCGTTCTGAACACGTTCGACGAATTAGAAAAGCCTTATCTTGATTTTCTGAAGAGGGAGCTGGGCCATGATCGTGTGTGGGCGATTGGACCGTTGCTGCCTGCGGACGATTCCTCTCTTGAGAAGAGAGGCGGGTCCAGTTCGGTCGTAGTAAACGACGTGGTGTCGTGGCTTGATGAAAAAGATGATCGCAAGGTCGTGTACGTGTGTTTCGGGAGCCAGACTATTCTGACCGAGGATCAGACGGACGCGATTGCATCAGCATTGCTGAAAAGTGGGGTCCATTTTATTTGGTCAATGAAAGAAGCCGTTAACGGTAGAATTGCATTTCCATTGGGATTCGAGGAAGGGGTCAGGCAGAAGGGTCTCGTGATTAGAGGGTGGGCCCCACAGGTGGTGATTCTGAGGCACAGAGCTGTGGGCGCGTTCTTGACTCACTGCGGGTGGAACTCGGTGCTGGAATCGGTGGTGGCTGGGGTGCCACTGCTTGCGTGGCCTATGACCGCTGACCAATTCGTAGATGCAACGTTGCTCGTGGAGCAGTTGAAGGTGGCTAGGATGGTGTGTGAGGGAGAAAAGACTGTTCCCGACGTGGAACATTTGGGTCGAGTTTTGGCCGAGTCCGTGAGTGAAAACGGCGCCCAAAAGAGAGAGGCGTTGAGACTGCAGGCCGCGGCGCTTGACGCCGTTAGAAACGGTGGAAGCTCCGAGAAGGACTTGGGGTGCTTGATGGGACAGCTACTTTTGCCGTTTGAAAAGTGAAACGTAACGGAGATCAATGTTTATCTTTTACGTAACGCCGTTAAAATTTTATAATATTATGCGTATTTTACTTCACTTCTAACCATTAACATCAATAATTGCCGCTTCACTGAAGCACAATAATAATATATGTATTTTCATGCAAAATTTAATAATTTAAACTTCTATATTGGGGGCATTATTGGGAAAGAAAAGATACTTCCACCATAGTTCCGGTGATGTTATCTTTAATAATTATAGTATCCTCTTTTTAAAGTAAATTTTCTCTTGATGTAACATAATCTAAAGTGTTTAATTTTCTTCCTTGCATATGCATATCAAGTCAACTTTTTAAGTTGTAAATCCACTTTCTATCAAATATAATTTATACTAAACAGATAGTATACGTAAAATATACATCCTTACAAAAATAAAAGGAAATAAGTACAAAATATAGATATAAAAATATGTACGTAATGTAAGCAATTTAATACTTTGATTGATTATAATTTTATATGAGTTTATACGTAGCTAATGTTATTTTATGTAGTTTTTCAAATAAGATGACTAAATTTGTCATATTATTATAATTTTGCTAAGGATAAAAGTTATTTTTAACATGGAAATTGATCACGACTAATTATAATAATAAAGAAATAAATATTAAAAAAATGTTAATTTTCTATTAATATTTTTTAGAAGATAAAAGGATTTTCTCGTTAACTTCTTTATTAAGGTTTATGAAAATGAGTCAAATTTATAAGTAAACATAGCAATAAATTCATAAATTTGTTGATTTATTATTGCTATTGTCATTGAATATGAAAAATGGTTGAGATTTGTATTTGTCTCGTGATGCTAATTCTCATCTAACAAGAAGCTTGCTCCAAGTTAGTCATCATCCAATTATTATTGTTTATTAAGGGAAGAAGATGGAACTTTGAGGAGATTCTAATTTGAAAGGAAAATTTGTAAATATTAATCTAGTTAGATTTTGTGCGTGTCATCGCATTATAGTTTTAGGATGGTGAATGATGACTCATATTTTATACTCACATTTATAGTTTTACTGTATCTTTTAAAATACTTTTTTCTTCTTTATTCCTTTCATTTAACATGTTTTTGCATTTCTTGCATTAAATTAGAATTTTTATAAATACTTATTATCTTTACTGTATATTTTATATTTTTTCTATTCTGACCTTTATCTACTTGTGGTAGCCTTGACCCATTTATTTTTCGTTTCATTTAAGACCAGTATATATATATATGAGTCAAAAGGTTGACTTTGCTTTTCTCTCTCTTTTCATAATTTCATTTTCTATTAGACTTTTTCCCTTTTTTGAAAAGAAACATTTTTCGTTACTGTTACTTGCTTCTGTAATAAGTGGAAAAAAAAAGAGTTTGATTAGCAATTTAATAATTAGTTAATATAGTTGTGGGGCGCGAGTTATTTGCTTAAGTCATTAGGAATAGGAAAGTGACGAAAAATTGGATATAGCCATCAGAAACACGGGTTATATATATACCCATCTATATTCAATTAAGTTTTTAGGCAACCTCTTCAATATTGTATTGGGAGTGAGTTGAGGGTTAGATTTGAATTTCATATTCAGATCTTACAACCTCCTTTCCGGATTCTGCATAATTCGATTTATGATTCCATTGCGACTTTTAATTTGATTTTATTTGTATTCCGATTCGCGACTACATGGTTGAATTCTCGAATCATCTCATCTAGAGCATGGATTGCAAGACCGATTGATCGCTCCGAGTTTGTCTTTTTGCTTTCTCTTTCTCGCAATTCTTGATTAAGATTTGTGCATGCGTAATTTGATTTTTATTCTTGAGTGTAAGATTGTTCGATTGATTAATTGATTTCTTTTGCATTCAAGGTTTAGGCAAATTCGGTATAACAATCCTAGTTCGTGTTTGTGGTTTTCGATTTTAATCCGAGTTCGTGTTTCTTTTTTAATTGCCTTTGTTCTTTTAATTCACATTTGTTCTTCCTTGCATTCATTTTTGTTTTTGTTTTCATTTTCGTTTTTCTAGATTTTAAATTTGTTGTCATTGATTCACATTAATGCTCTTCAATTCTAATTTACATTTATGTTTAAATTCTTAAAAACTACAAAACCCCCCAATCTAACCACTATTGCATGTTTAAAACTAGAAATAGAATGAATTTGTGTCCTTGTGAGATGACCTATGTTTGCTCCCTATATTGCAAAATTATTTGAGGAATCTAGTTTTGTTTGAAACCATTACGACGTGGTTGTCAATGAAACATTTCAGTGGAACAAGGTTACCACTTTCATATACAATATTATATTAGGTAAAATTTATTGTGACTACTATGGTATCATGCACATCAAGAGGTTGACAACAAGTTACCTACTTGTTCAACATTTCAATAATGGTTCTACAAGTTTATGATGAAACCACTAATACTATTGCAATGAGCTTATTCAACAAGAGTCAATGTTGTAGGTGAAAAATTATTAAATCCATCAACAACTTTTTGATTGTAAGGGTGTTATTGCTTAAAACTTATTGCATAAGTAAATTTTGTTCTCAACATAATCTTCAAATGAAAAACCATAAAGCTTAAAAATTTGTGTACTTGTTCCACCTCAATATATTAAATCATTTTCTATATTAAATTACAATTGTTTGAATGTGCTTAGTTAGTAGTAATAAAAATTATGTGTACAATAAAATATTGTCTACTTTTATTGTTTACAAATAAAATGAGTGATATTAAAAAGACATGCGCCATCTATTTAGAAAAAGTTGATAAGAAGTAGATAGAACTTAGAAAATAACAAAACTTAGATATTGTTTTGTAGTGTTTGTTTACTAATTAAAATTTGAGTTTTATTTTAATAAAAATATTCACATTTATTGTTATCATTGGTTAACATGAAATTCAAATTTTGATTAATTAACAACCTCTAACATTTAGACTTAAGTTTTGTCATTTACATAAATTGCAACTAATTTTTAAATATATTACTGGTAAATACTACCTAATATGCAAGTTTCATATTGGTTCATGAAAAATGTCCCTGCTCTTCCTAATAAGATAGGCTTGCCTACCTACCTTTTCATTGGAAGGCAACAAACACTCCATAAGTCAATTGCATCTCCACAATGAATATCTCCTAGCAAAAGCTGAGTTGCCCTACATTACAAAGTCACAACATGGCTAGCTAACAGACCTTTTAGTAGGGTTATAAACTGTTGTAAGACCAAATCTCAATCTTAAGATTTTCATTTTGGTAAATAAAAAGATTTGAACCCTTGATGTCATGGTGCAAAACACCCCTACTATGGTAGTATTTAAGCCTCCAAACCTAAACAGTTACTACATGTAACATTTAATTTGCAAAGCCAACAAATGAATAATTCAATATCATGCTTCTACAACATTCTACAACCCTTTTAGTTAAATAAAAATGATAAAACATATACTTAGAGAAGACAGAAATGCTAAGATATATATAGTGAATTTAATAAAAGAGACTAGTATAGTGTTCATATGCAAGTGTACCTATCAAAAAGTAATAAAGGGTTTTTGAATTAAGAGTTCCCAAGTTATCGTTTCACAAAGATTATTTCCAAGTACCAAGAATAACTTAATTTGATTGTTTAAACGTAACGAAATTATAACGAATAAAAAATAGAGCTTAATGTTAACAATAAATTAAAAGAACAATAATACAACGTATGAGAGAGATTGGATGAGATGAGCTTAGAACTTATGGGTTCACATACTACACTTCTTTATGTTCTAATTAATTTAATCCCGATATTGGTATCCAAATATTTGCCAACCTAATGATTATGCAATGTCAATATTCTTTTTCCTTAGCAAACACCCCCAATGATCATGCAAGATAATTGGTCGAGAAAGCATGAAGATCTTATGAGTTTATTAATTTAATAACGGCTGAAAGAAAGGAATTAAGTGTGATGAACCTAACCCCTTGTCTCATTTTATCATATGATTCCATTAATTACACGTGGTACAATCGCCTACAATGCAACTAACTATGGGATGTTAAGGGTGATCAAATCTTAATATACACAATACATTTTAATTGAATAAAGCCAAACATTAAAGCTTTCAAAATGCCTAGGCGCCAACTATCGACTTCAGTTCCTGCTCTCTAAAGCCAAAATTTCATCTATTACCTCCTCTGTTTCTATTAGAGTATCTTTTTCAAGTGTGAGAATTTTCTCTAGAATATCATCCCTTAACCTATTAATTAATTGTACAGAGTGTAAAGAGGAAAAAAGATTATTTAAAAAAATAAAATTACAAGAATCAAAACTAGAAGGGTGTTTAAGAGAATTAAAAACTTTAAAAACAACTTTTTCATCGTTTAGTCTTAATGTGAGCTTCCATTCTTAGGTTCCATCCAACATAGTCATCACATTAGGGTCATATTTTAGAGTGCTTCCTTACTTATCCAAATCTTAAACGATGCTTCTTATATGCTAAAAGCATTAAACATCAGACAACATGCAGCAAACATCATTTATTGCTTCTAAGATCTGCTCAGATTTAGTCCCTTTCAAAGTGCTCAAACTCGCAATTACTTAGGGTAACATACAAACAATTTGGATACTCAAATGTATAAAATATATAATTATTTTAGACTTTAGTTTCACAAAATCAATCCTAAATATTGATATTAAAACATATATATATATAGGGGGCATTTCAAGTGAGAGAAGTTTGTTATTATGAGAGGTGAGATGCATTAATAATGGCTATTAGATCAAAATAAAGCTTAGATTTGATAATGTTACCCCACTATCCACTTTCTTCTCTCTCTTACCAATTGCCATTATTAATGCCTCTCACATCTTACTTGAAATTTCCCTATATATATATATATATAAACTTGTAGAAGATAGATTGAATAAGTGCAAGTTCTTATGAAGGAAGAAACAAATGAAAATCCACAAATTTTGCACACTTGCATGAAAAGCTCGAAGTCTCTGCCATATGAACGAGATCTAGATTTTGGTCAAAATGGAAAAGATGAACATGGATGCCAGAACTGCTGAAGTTGAAGATGACAGCCAAAAGGGTGAAAGGTTGTGATTAGGGGATAGCTTGCAATGCGTGAAGTCTTTGATGGACTCGTTAGAAGAGTTATTCTACTTATGCTGATATTGATTTGTGACACTGCATTTTCTTACTCAAAGATTACAAAAGAAAGATTACAAACTCTAACTTGCATGACTTGGCAAAAAAACGTTCAAAGCAAAAAAAAAACACTCAAAAATTGAAAGAAAGGAAATCTTTTTGCATGAACAATAATTTGAAAGAATCTTTTTGCATTAAAAATATTTACAATTAAAATAAATATTAAAAATATTAAAATAATGATTAATAAATATAACTATATCTTAACGGTTAATTTGAAAAAGGCATAAATGCCCATTTAAGTTACAAAAGCATGCACCATTTTTATTTAAATGTTGTTTTAAAAATTTCATATATCAAATAAAAGAAACTTAAAACACGTGTAAAAATCAAAATTAATCTGACATATGTACGTCTCATTTTAATTTTTTAAAATAAAAACTCATTTTACCATCCACACGTACGTCTCCATGTCAAACAAATCCATAAAACTCCCATATGCCACATGAACCTTTCTATGACTATATATATATATATATATATATATATATATATATATATATATAATTAAATTAAAAAATACTAATTATTTATATATAATTATATTTGTAAGATTAATTCTTTCTATGACACTAAGGGTTTGTTTGAATGTTTAGAAAAGAGGAAAAAAATGAGTTTGAAAACGGAAGGAGGAGAAGAGAAGAGAAAGGAGGGGAAAGAGAAAGAGAAGGAGGCTTAAACCCCTCTCTTGGATATTTATTATTTTTTATATCTTTTATTTATATTTTTTTATCTTTTTTAAAAAATTAATATTTTTCTCTCTCTAAAAATAAATAATTTAAAAATTAATACTTTTATTTTTTATAATTTTTTTAAAAAAAATTCTACTTTAAAAATTTATATGTACATACGTTGGTTTGAGTTATACATCATTTAAAAATATTTTTAGAATAAAAATTTGTAAAAATAATGAGTTTCTCACATAGGATATATAAAAAATAAGGGATAAATGATTTTTTAATCCCTATATGAAACCACTTTTTATAATTTAGTCTTTGTAGGTAAAAAAATTTGTATATTAAATTTTATACAAAAAATTATTTTTAATTTCATCCATATCCTTACAATACATTGTAGCGATGTTATCTCTCTTTTCTACATGAAAAATTATTATCCAATGTGGTAGGTTTAAATTGTTTTTTTTTTTTTTATCTTTATTCAAGATTTTTTTAAGGTAATTTAGTCCTTATAGATAAAAAAATTTGTATATCAATTTATATATGAAAATTTATTTTCAATTTCATTGATATTGTTATGGTGACATTTTTATATCTGTGTCAAGTGATCTTTTTTACTATCTTTAGAGGAGTATTTTATATTCTTCAAGTCTCTTTCTTCTTATACTTTTAGGCTTTGTTTGAAAGTTTTGAAAGAAAAGGAAGAAAAAGATTTGAAGGGGAGAGGAGAAGGGGGAGGGAAGGAAGTTAAACCCCTTCTTTGTTTGAATGTTATGATTGAGAGAGGAGGGTGATGAAAGGTTTAATCATATAAATGATATTATATTATTGTCTTTTATATTTTTATATATATTTTTCTCTCTCTAAAAATTAATAATTTTATTTTGTATAACTTTTTTTTAAATTCTCACTTAAAAAAAATATTTTTTATAAAAAAATTAGAATCTTATGTGTGAAAGAATACAAAAGAGTGGAAAGAGAAAACCTCTTGAAACGAGAGAACTCAAAAAATTATCACTCTAAGGGTTTTAGAAGATTTAGAAAAATCTCTAAAACTTTTTAACCATTCCACTCTTAATCAAGTAACTTGTAAATAAGGTTTAAACCCCACTAATCCCTCTTCTCCTCCCCTCCTCTGTTAAACATGACTCAAAACATAGCCTTAAACATTTAGCTTCATGTTTTGATTAATCTTTACATGAGCATTATCTTCAATATTTTTATTTTTAATGTCACTACTTATTTGCCTCATTATATTCTTTTCATAATCATCATTCTTTCTTCTATTATTCTAATCTTAATATCTTGAATATCGACCATATTTCCTTGAGTCATATATAAAGTAAAAAATGTCTGCTTTTAACTTTTTTGAATATTTGTAAGAAAATTAGAATCATTCTTTAAACTATCACCATAAAAATATTGAAGGTGATGATCATATAAAGATAAATTAAAACATTAAAGTATTTTTGGAATAGTTTTTACAACAGTTTAAAGTAAAGAAATGTTAACTTGTATAATGAAGCGAGTTGTCATAAATTAAAAATGTATGGAGAAGAATATAAATTTTTTTTGAAGAATTTAAAATAATCTTATGAAAGTGATGAAAAAATATCACTTAACATTGATATAAAAATGTTACCATAATAATAAGAATGAAATTGAAACAAATTTTTGTATAATACAACTTTTTTTTACTTATGAAAACTAAATTAAAAAAAGGAAAAATCTTATAACGGGACTTAGAAAATAATTTAAACTTATCATGTTAGATAATCATTTTCTAATTAAGAGAGAAAATTAACATCATTATATTAAGAGAGAAAATTAACATCGTTATAATATATTCAAATTGAAAATAAATTTTAATAGAGACTGTTATACAAGTTGGCACAAAGCGCAACCCATTTTATTGTCTCATAAAAGGAATTGGGCCGAAATAGGTCTTGCCACACCGCAGTTCATTACGAGTTCGTTGGCTCGTTGCCTATCTCCGGTCCGTCTGGACTCGATAGCGAAACATTCGTAGTTTCATTTCGACCCCTCCCGCCAAACAGAAACCCCATTTGGCGCCCAAAACTCGTGCAACGACGGGAGCCGTTTCAAAAGCCACCATGAAGGTTCGATCGTTGAAGCTGAGGGAGGCCCACGCCAACAAGGGTGGTCGTCGTTCCTTCTGCTCCATCCTGTGGGACCAGCAAGCTCAGCATCTGGTCACCGCCTCCTCTTCCGATGTCTCCGTCTCCATTCACGACCCTCTTCTCCCCTCCGCCACTCCCAAAATCCTCCGTCACCACCGTGACGGTGTCACCGCCTTGGCTCTTAGCCCAAACTCCACTTGCCTCGCATCCGGTTGCGTCGATCACTCCGTCAAACTCTACAAGTTTCCCGGTACACCATTGTTCTTACTTTATTTGTTACTTGTGAATATGAATTGCATTTTGGACTTGGTCCTTTGCCAATTTAATAACTCAACTTAATGCTTTTTTTTTTTTATTATTATTGTTTAAACTTTTGAGACGCGCATGTTCCAATTTGAACGATTTGAATTGATCCTTGGCAGGTGGGAATTCGAGACAAACATTACGAGGTTTACTCTTCCAATTCGTTCTCTAGCGTTTAACAAATCTGGGAGCATGCTGGCTGCAGCTGGTGATGATGAGGGCATCAAGCTGATTAACACAGTTGATGGTTCTATTGCGAGGGTTCTGAAAGGGCACAAAGGGTCCGTCAGTGGCTTAGCTTTCGACCCTAACAGCGAATACTTAGCCTCTCTGGATTCAACTGGAACTGTTATTTTCTGGGAGCTTCATTCTGGGAGAATCGTTCATAATCTCAAAAGCATAGCTCCTGACACAGGGGTAGACCTTTCCACTATGAATGTTCTTTGCTGGAGTCCTGATGGCGAGACCTTGGCGGTTCCCGGGTTGAGAAATTATGTGGTGATGTATGATAGGGACACTGCTGAAAAGTTGTTTTCTTTGAGAGGTGATCATGTAGAAGCTATTTGTTTCTTGTGCTGGTCACCCAATGGAAAGTACATTGCTACATCAGGTTTGGACAAGCAGGTTCTGATCTGGGATGTTAGTAGGAAGCAGGACATTGATAGGCAGAAATTTGATGAGAGAGTTTGTTGTATGGCTTGGAAGCCAATTGGGAATGCCTTGGCTGTTATGGATGTTATGGGGAAGTATGGTGTTTGGGAGAATGTTATTCCTTCGTCGATGAAGTCTCCAACTGAGGATATTCCTGTGCAATATAAGAGTAATGGGCTTCTTTTGATTGATGAAGAGGATCCTGAAAACAGTGCTTCAAGTGGAAGCTTGAGTGATATTGGTGAAACTAGTAATGTTGATGCTGAGCCACCGAGCAGAAAGAGATTGCGTAAACAGTCTTTGAGTGAGGATAATTTTGATGAGGATGGAGGTGAGGAAATTGGTTTATATCCTAAGGTTGAGTCTCACACGAAACGAAATCGCTCAAAGAAAGAAAATTTGGACAGTGGGAATGTGAGGTTTAGGAGCAACATGGTAATTTGTAAGCCAAAGATGCAGGAGGCATTTCAACCAGGATCAACCCCTGTGCAGCCTGGGAAAAGGCGTTTCTTATGCTACAATATGCTTGGATGTGTGACCTCTATTGAACATGATGGATACTGCCATATTGAGGTAACGTAGTGCATAGGAACTAGAGATAGTTTAAGTTTACCTTTTAGTTAAATCATCACTTTTAGCATAAATTAATGAGTTGGAATATCTTTGTTTACAGATTGATTTTCATGATACTGGAAGCACTCCACGAGTTCCTTCAATGATAGATCATTTTGGATTTTCAATAGCGGCATTAAATGAGAAAGGGAGTGTCTTTGCAAATCCTTGCAAGGGGGAGAAGAACATGAGCACCCTCATGTATCGCCCATTTAGTAGCTGGGCTAGTAATAGTGAGGTTAGGTTAAAGCGCTTATCCCTTGTTAAGAAAAAGCATTTCTTAAAAGGACAGACAACATATCAGTTCTTTTGGTTAGCTGTGCATGATATGAAAATTCACCGTTGCTCACTCTGTTTAAAAATTGGCAGTGGTCTATGCGCTTTGAGGGAGAAGAAGTGAAGGTTGTTGCACTTGGTGCGGCTTGGGTGGCCACCGTAACTAGTTTTAACTATCTTCGCATCTTTTCTGAGGGTGGTTTGCAGGTTTGTAGCACATAGCTTATTTACATGTTTTTTCATTTTCACTGACTGAATACTGAAGGTATGATACTTTCCTGTATGTAGAAGAACTATGGGTTTAAAAGGTAGATGATTGTGTACTTCCTAGCCTTTCTGATAGGAACTCGATTAACTGAATCAAATACAATTCCAAATAAAGAGCCCAAAACTGGACTCAAAAGATCAAGCAACAGCATTTTGCAAATACACCAGATCAAAAGCTCCAAAACAACCAGCAATCACAGCAAGGTCCCTTACTGTGCCAATAACCCACTAACAAAAATGTCTCCTCTATCATGCTATTCCCTCATCCTATATACCTCCAAATATTCTAACAAATTCTCCTAACAAACTTTTGCCACGTTGGCATTCCCATTGTCGTGTGCCTTCGTTCTTCTAGTATACACCTTCTAGACCTTGGGCCTCGGTGGCCCCATACTCAGAAACTCATCCATAGACTTATTGGACCTATCACTTTCATTTAACTTTTTAGACATTTATTTTGTCTTAAAGCGTGTAACCAAGAATCCGTGGTCGATGGTATTTATCCGGAAGCATTTACACACTTTTGAATATTTGACATTGCAGAGACGTGTGATTTCGCTAGATGGGCCAGTGGTGACTGCATCTGGTTTCAAGGATCAGCTTGTAGTTGTCACTCATGCTTCTGATTGCCTTTCCTCGGATGATCAGGTTGGTTCAGTCTTCATGCTTAGCTGTTGCTTGAGATTGGCAGGTCCTATGTGATTTAAATTAGTATTTGCGTGTTATCACTATTGTTGATAAAAGTGACTACGCGCAACTCGCCAAGTTGAAGACTCTCTGGAACGATCACTTTTGATGACAATAGTGGTTACGCAGAGCTTTCCTGATATTTTGCCTCTCTGGAACTATCACTTTTAATGATAAAAGTGGTTACGCAGAGCTTTCTTTCTTCTTTGAACTTTTGAAGTGATCACTTTCACTGATAATGGTGATCATGCCCAGTCTGCAATTTCTTATTCTTGAGTTTGTGGAGTCCAGACTTGCTTCTTCTCTCTTCCTTGTCATCAAACTTCCATGAATATGATCCTTGCTCAATTTATTCCTTCAAAAACAAGATTATAAACTTAATTCCTAAGCAAAAATTTCACAATTACTAAAATAACTAAAAATTTAAACAAACTTCAATTCCTTTTATTTTTTCTAAGTTTTTCTGTTTTCTTTATATATTTTTCTTATCAAATGTGTTAGAATTATGCTAAAATATCAGTCAAAATATGGATTCATCAATAAGGAACTTTGATCTTGCAATCTTTTGGTTTCTTACACTTAAAGCAATATTGAATTGAATCAGATCTAAGGAATTAGAATGGTTTAATTGGATGTTAGGTTCACTGAGTTAAGGAATTAACCTCTGAATAATACAATGTGAAACTGATTGTCATTCTTTCCAATTGCTTGTTAATTTAGAACTTTATTGATTAAACATTGGAGTTTTGGTGAAGCAATTTCTGACTATGGTTTCTTCCTCTATTATTACATAACTGTGTGTTCATTGTTCTGTTTTCTGCAAGTTCTTCTTTACTCTTAATTGCTTTTGTATGTTACAACTCTTCTCCCAAATTTGTATGGCTCAAACGGTTACAATTTTGTGAATTGATACTTGAAATCTAAATTCCCTGTGGAGACGATATCCTGTTCTTAAAAATTACTCATTACTTGCTGCAATACTAGTGCACTTGCTAGAGTTTAGATTGCTAACAACATATGTCAATCACATTTTTCTAGCACTTGTACATAACCATATTCAGAACTTTCCTAACTTCAAAGCTTGGCCAAATTAAAACATACACTTCTTTTCTCACGAGGTCAATCACTCAAACTCACATGCAACAACAATCGTTCAACCAATTAAATTCAGCATGGGTTCAATCAATTAATTCAAGGTAAAATGCTTTCAATCTCTTTGGTTAAACCTAGATAAAACAAGACATCAAGGCGCGAAAACACTAACCTTTTCCCTAAGAGTTAAATCTGTCCAGCACTCACGTTTATTATTTTACTTAAGTTTTCTAACATACTAAAGTAGGAAAATCAACATACGAAGACTCTAACTCATTGTCCAAGTTTCATGATTTTATTTTATAAGAAATCAAGCTTTTAGGGACACAAGACCAAGGCTTATACAAGGGTTCTCCTTTCAAAAATTCAGTTGTTAAACACTTTAGTTCACACATTCGTCAAGGTTCAATCTAAGCATGACATCTCCAAATAATTTGCATCACTTATTGTCAAAACCGAAAATCATTCAAGTTTATTGGTCCTCTCTTTTTACAAGGTTAATGTCCATGGTCCATTCTCATGCTCCCAATTTATTTTAAAGTTCTAAAATATGAAATCCTTGCCTTTTTCCTCAAAACGTTCAAAACTGTCCAGCCTTATGAACCTCCTTATTACTTCCTTCTTTTTCAATCATCACACCACTAAATCAAGGGAAGTTTGCGTGCAAAAACAAGGTTTCATCATCTAAGTGCAGTACATCAAATTTCCTAAGGAATGTCCAAACTTTTAAGAGTGAAACCGAAATACATAGGGCTGAAATTAACATGCAATGATGCAAAATTAATGTGTAAATCTGTGGTTTCTTGATTCCAAGGGTCAATCAATATTTGAACAAGAGATCAAGTCAAAAGGTATACAAATCCGAGACATGCAATTGGAAAGAAACCACACGTACACATCAATGGTTCAGACTTTTAAGAGTGAATTCGTTAAGAGAAAGGTTCACATTTTTTTTTTGAGAACTTAACATGCAAATTCAGATTTGGGGTATATTCAACATGCAGTCCAATGTATAGATTTTTCTAAGGACGAACAAGCAAAAACAGTCAAGGAAAGACAAGGAAATCAATATGCACACTTCAAAGTCTCAACCTTTTTGTGAATCAAGTTGATTAAGAAAAAGTCCACTCTTTTTTTTTTCTAGGGGCTGGCCGAGACATGTAAATGGGAAGATAACACACTCTTTGAAGGGATTCAACATGCAAAAATTAGATTCAAGTCACTTCCACATGCAGTCTAAAATACAAGATTTTATCAAGGAAACACAAGTAAGAACATCAAATCGCAACATGCAAAATCAAGCAAGGTGAGAACTCCCCCTTGCCTTTGATTTTTGGACGTGAGATTGAAGAGAGAAGGGCTGGAAATGGTTGATCTTCAAGGGAAGCTTGCTGGACCGAAAAAAATAGTGGCAAGATTCTTCAAGTTCTCCTTCTAAAGTGGGTTCCTTCAACATAAAAATTAGAAAGAAAGGTGGAGGAAGGTGCTATGGTGTTAGGCTCCCCCAAATCAAGGAAGTAAAGATGAGAAATGGCTTACCTCTTTGGTGTTGTGGTCTCGGTTTGAAGAAAGCAAGCAAGGAACAAGGTGAGTGCTTGAAGTCTCTCGGTTTTGGCCTTGAAAAGTTGAGAGAATGTGAGATTTTTGGGGAGGGGAGGTCTCGGTTTGAAGAGAGGATGGAGAGAATGAGAAAGTGGAAGGGTTTCAAGAGATAGTGTGAGATAATTTCTTGGTTTGGTGCAGCAAAAATGCAAATTCGGACCTAGTGTCCCCTTTTGCATGAAAGGTGAAAATGAAATGGCCAAGGGAATGGATTCACGGCCCTAGGCTCCTTGGATAAGGTTCTAAGGCTTCCAATTTTGCAATTGGCCAATTGAAGTAAAAGGATTGTTGCATGAAAAGGAGCTCACGGTTTTTTGGTGCATGAATAGTGAATTTTAGAAAGGCTTGCAAGTAACACTTAGTGTATTTTGATAAGCAAGCTGCATGGAATGGTCTAGGCTGCATGCACACGGTTTTTGGTGAGGCAAGTTCCAAGAATCGGCACAAAGTATCAAGGCTTAAAGCTTTGGACAGCATGCATGCAAAATAATTGGCCGACGAGGAATTTGATGCGACTTGGTTGACATTTGAAAGGACATTTGACATGGTGGCAATTTCAAGGAAATCATGTTGGAATTTGTAAGACAAGACAAGAAAGTTTCGAAGTGACTTGGTCTATGAATCGGGGAACAAGATCCATTGCATGCAATCTTAGTGGCCGAACTAGATTTTTGGGATCTTCAAGGGAATGATTACTAGATCTCGTGAAATTCCGTGCAAAATTATGACGCCTAAGTAATCATTGAAAATCCAAAGTAATGATTACCAAATCTCACGCTTTTCGAGAAAGATAATTATGACAAATATATTTATTAATTAATTATTATTATTATTTTTTGAATAATTCAAATAGAACGAAAATATATTTTTTGGATAGAATTATCAGTGGACACTTTAGACAGTACTGCAGAGTAAATTAGTCCTGAATGATCCTGAAACCAAGTATTGCACACAATTTTCCCTAAAATTCCAACTCTAAAATAAATCACTATTCTAAAAATTTTAATTTCCATCTACTCCTTCTGATACTAGAAAGTCAGAGACAGCGAGAAGTTCTAATCCAAGAGTTGCTAATTAATTCGTGAAATTTGGGGCATTACAGTATTACTCCCATCCAATTGGGCATTCCCACTTTTGCCTCCAATAGTGGCCACGTCCACTTCCTCTTTACCATTACTCCCATATGTTGTTTTTGTTATGCTTCCCTCCTTCATTTTTATGCTCTAAACATGCCAATAATGCTATTAAACTTCTTGTTCATGTATGTTAGTGCCTGAATTTGGTTCGTGCCCATTTCCATTTAGTTTTGGCCCCTCCATTTTGCTATTTTGCTTTTCAATTCCATGCCATTTTACTTTTGCTGCACTTGATCCTCATGCACATTACATAATTAACCATGATTGTTGATCTTTTTGTGACTTTAATTTCACTAATTGCTGCATTATGGTCCTTGAGCTTAGAAGCCATATTCTGCTATACATTGGATTGCTATACATAGTGAACGTATGCCACACCATTCTCTGTGCTTAATTGTTCTTGTCTGTACCATTTGAGCTCTATGCTTTGCCCACAGAATGCCTCTTTTTATGGAATGGAATGTGTTTGTAGGCTATGTACCATGATTGACATTTGTTGCCCTCTGAGTCATATGTAGCACTATACACCCTTTTGCACACAAATTACTTAGGATGGTATCAAATTATTTTGTAGCCCCTGGTTTGATTGCTTGCTGTTGTGTGTTACCATGGAGGGTTGACCCAATTTCCTTGCATTACCCATTCACATATTCTTTCTTCTCTGCAGATAATGTCAAGCAATCCTAGAAGGAACGCCCCCAGAACCAAGAGGAGCAGGACAACTGAAGCCTCTTCCTCTCAGCCCCCTCCTACCCATGAGCCCAGGTTCAGGTCCCCAGAGCATGAACTGTATTTTAGGGAGAACATCCTGTGGCGCCAGATCGTCCAAGATAGGAATTTTGAAATCCAGCAGGGGACATTTCCACAGTTTCAGGAGGAAATAGATAGGCATGGCTGGGGACTTCTCACCTCCTGTGCCGGCAATGGGTGGAAGGACATCACCCAGGAATTTTATGCTAATGCCCTATGCCTTGCAGATGACCCTTATCCCCCCAGGCACACCATGGTCAGGGGGAAACGAGTTAGTTTTACTCCAGCCACCATCCAGAGGGTTTTAAACATCTCTCCTCTGCAGAAGCAACCTGGCCAGCTGGATTTCACTGCATTCCATAAACAAAAGGAAAAGGATTACCAGCCTATACTTCAAACCATTTGCATTGAAGGAGAAAATTAGGTATTTGATTG